AGATATAATTTTGAATGAGTGAATCCAGGTACAAAATTTTTAAAAATACTGCATTCTTCCATTTGTATGTTGTTTAAAAACAGATTAAAGTAAATAATAGTTTGATATGTATATAGAAAGAGTTATTGTTGATAATCTCAAAAATCAGGTCAGTAGCTGATTCTTATCTTGGAGGCTGGCAAGTGGAGACTCAGTATATTCTCTATTTCAGTTAATTATATGGTGTGACTACATGGACATTCCCTTTACAATAATTCTATAAGCTAGAAATTTTACACACTTTTCTATATGCCATATAGAAAAATATAAGCTCATTAAAGTATTTTGAGGGAAAAGGATTGCTTTGAGATTGGGCAGGTTTAAAAATGTTCTATTTTTTTAAAAAAGTTCTATTTTTGGGCTGGGCACAGGGGCTCATGCCTGTAATCCCAGCACTTTGGGAGACCGAGGCGGGTGGATCATGAGGTCAGGAGATCAAGACCATCGTGGCTAACATGGTGAAACCCCGTCTCTACTAAAAATACAAAAAAATTAGCCAGGTGTGGTGGCAGGTGCCTATAGTCCCAGCTACTCGGGAGGCTGAGGCAGAAGAATTGACTTGAACCAGAGAGGCAGAGGTTGCAGTGAGCTGAGATCGCACCCCTGCACTCTAGCCTGGGTGACAGAGCTAGACTCCTTCTCAAACAAACAAACAAGCAAAAAACCAAAACAACAACAAGAAAAGAAATGATTTTTATCTTTCATCTGATTTTTGTATTCTGCATTATTGCTTCTCTGGGACTCAAGTAAAGAACATTTGCAGTAGTTTAGACAGTTCTAAGTTAATGCTACGTGAAACTGTCAGACTCTTGTCTTCATCTCTCAATCCGTTAAATCCAATTTCAAAAGATAAAAAGTTGCCTTTATTCAGAGTATTCAAAGGATGTGATCTAGACCCTAAAGTGCTAGCTTGTTTCTTAAAAAATATTTTATGTGGCTGGGTGCAGTGGTTCATGCCTGTAATCCCAGCACTTTGGGAGGCCAAGGTGGGTGGATCACGAGGTCAGGAGTTTGAGACCAGCTTGGCCCACGTAGTGACACCCCATCTCTGCTAAAAGTAAAAAATTTAGCCGGGCATGGTGGCACACGCCTGTAATCCCACCTACCTGGGAATCTGAGGCAGGAGAATCGTTGGAACCTGGAGGCGGAGGTTGCAGTGAGCTGAGATTTTGCCATTGCACTCTAGCCTGGGCAGCGGAGCAAGACCCCATCTCAAAAAAAAATCATTTTATGTTCACACGTTATGTATTTTATTTAGAAAGTATTTTAGCTATGATAAATTATAAAATTGAGATTAATTTATATGTACACTTTTTAGAATTGTACATTCAGGATTTAAACATCAGCCACATGGGTATGGTGTTGTACTATTATGTTTTAAATATTATTTAAACTATGGTTTTAATTTGATCGTATACTCTTTTTTTTTTTTTTTTATTTTACAGTGGGACTCAACTAGGAGGTCTTATTACAGTACTGTGCTTCTTTTTCAACCATGGAGAGGTTTGTTTTCTAGAAAGCAATTTTTAAGAAATAGAAGGGGCTACAGAGGAACAAGGAAATATACTCATCAAAACAATATATAATTGTATATGCTACTTATGATTTCACAATATTTTAAAGACCCTTGTGTTATAAGTTGATATTTTAATCATGTTGATTGAAATGTTTAAATAGCTAGAATTTCAAACATAAAATCTCTTGCCTTATTTTTAGTAAATATATAGATGCACATATATTCTGTAGAGAAAAGGAAATAGTATACTTGTTGTGTTGAATCATGTCATGCACATTAGCTGATGTGTTCCCACTAAACTTTTTTTGTGGGTAGTGGCAGCCTCACCATACAAGTTATGAAATTTAAATTTAGAGAAAGTTAAGTTACTTATCCACATTCCATATTTACTACATGATGAAGCTGGATTTCCCATTCTATGTCTGTCTGCCTCTAAAATCTCACATATATATATTATTTTATATTTTATAAATTATAAAATTATATTTTATAAAAACATATATTATGTGTTATATATAGCATATATATTCAACTTTTTTATTGTGGTAAGAATCAGTAACATGAGATCTGCCCTCTTAACAGATTTTTAAGTGTACAATACAGTATTAACACAATGTTGTATAGCAGATCTCTAGACTTACTCATCTTGCCTAACTGAAACTTTGTATGCATTGCACTTCCCTTGACAATGAAAGAGGCCTCAGGCCTGACAGCAGGGACACAGTTAAGACACTGCCACCTGCTCCCTCACTTCTTTCTGTTACGTCATGCTGTCTGTTCAGTAATGCAAAATGCTGAATTCAAAATCGACATTAACTTAACGAATTCAGCCCAATGAAACATAGTCCACCTAAAAAAGAGCTCATAGAAGCTTATTTCAAATACGGTGGATTCATTCAACAAAATATTGAGTACATACTATGTCCATGCTCTGTTAGATGCTGAGGATATGACAATGAAAAAGAGAGAGATTCTGACTACTAGCTCTTGGTAGCAAAATATTTAATAGTTATGACACAAGTTACATAGGGTAGAAGTACTTTTTTTTTTTCCAAGATGGAGTCTTGCTCTGTCACCCAGGCTGGAGTGCAGTGGTGTGATCTTGGCTCACTGCAACCTCTGCCTCCCAGATTCAAGCAATTCTCTTGCCTCAGCCTCCTGAGTAGCTGGGATTACAGGCATGTGCCACCACACCCAGCTAAATTTTTGTATTTTTACTAGAGATGGGGTTTCACCATGTTGGCCAGGCTGGTCTCAAACTCCTGACCTCATGATCCACGCCCCCTTGGCCTCCCAAAGTACTGGGGATTACAGGCGTGAGCCACCACGCCCAGCCAGGTAGAAGTATCCATTGCTGTTGGGTTGATTTTTAAAAATCAGTTAGATAAAGGAATCATAAAAATTATACATAAAAGTCATGTATATTATTTTAAAGCAAACAAATGCATTGTCATTCAACAATGTGCTGATATAAAGACAAAGCTTTTTCTTTGAGTGTGAGAGACAACGGTTGGTATAAGTTGACTTTCTTATATGTATCATAATTCCTCTTTCAACATTTACAATTTTGATATCTTGGAAGAAGAGCAGTAATTAAGACTCTTGCAAAGTAATAAGAGTTCACATTCTTTCTAGAATTTCAGAGTTTTTGATGGAAATTTTTTCTAATACTCTGACCCATATGTCTTAGAAGTAATTTTAAAGTTTGTATGAAAATTTAATACTTTCATTACATGCATCACATTTGTAGTTCCCAAATACTTCTAGTTGTTTTTAAAATATATACTTAACCTTTTTTAAGGTACATTTTACAAATTCTGAGGCAATCTTAGCTATTCGAAGTGTGTATTTATATTCATTCAAACTTGTTATGTAGAAACTCTCTTGGTGCTTGCGAGTGATCTAGGTGACATTTGTTTAGGTATTTGTCTTGGCATGCATATATCCCAAAGCCTGGGATGCCAGGATCATATGCCAGGATCATACCTTCAGAGCGGGACTGTGGATCTAATTGGTCAGTCACAGAATTCTCACAACTCTTATATGTACAATCTTGTTTGTCCCTTGGGTTTCCTTTTGCTCAGTCTGATATATCTGTTGCTGGTTTCTGGACATGGTAGTTAATTGCTCTCTACTTAATGGCCTCATGCGTTAAGAGAGCTTCAAAAACTGAGAAGCTATGCCAGACACTCAGAAATGGGATATAGTGAACCTAGTATTAAAATTACTAAAACAAACTCACCCCTGGTTTTTAAATATGTTTGTTGTAGTAAACATGATGTAAAGTGGGCATTTTGTTGATTTCAGGCCACCCGTGTGATGTGGACACCACCTCTCCGTGAAAGTTTTTCCTATCCATTCCTTGTACTTCAGATGTATATTTTAACTTTGATTCTCAGGTAACTTTGATTTATAAAATGAAGGCAAATAAATTATAATTTAAGTTTCTTAAAATATACTTCAATTCAGCACTTTGGGAAGCCGAGGTGGGCGGATCACTTGAGGTCAGGAGTTCGAGACCAGCCTGGCCAACACGGTGAAGCCTCATCTCTACTAAAATACAAAAATTAGTCAGGCATGGTGGTGTGCACCTGTAATCCCAGCTACTTGGGAGGCTGAGGCAGGAGAATTGCTTGACCTTGGGAGGCGGAGGTTGCAGTGAGCGGAGATTGTGCCACTGCACTCCAGCCTGGGCAACAGAGCAAGACTCCCTCTAAAAAATTGTAAATATATATATACTTCAACCTATGAGGTAGTAATTACCAAGTTTAGACCATTTTTTAGTTATTTTAAAAGTAAATTGAATATAGAGTTAAGAAAATAATTCAAAATTGCTATGTAAAAATGGCTGTCCATTTAAGAGTGTAGGCTACAGGTTTTAGATAGCTACATTATGTTTTAATAAATCAAAAGGTATGTGTTTGTGTATAGTTTGCCAAGATTCAAAAGTTTTTGAGAAACAATTACATTTTCTCTTCAAAGTTTAGGTACTCTGACATTGTTTTCTAACCTGTGGTTTTGATGACTGTGCCATGAAAAAAGTGTTCTGTGTGCAAACGAATTTGGGAAATGCAGAGTTAGATGGATAAGGAGTACGTATATTCACTTATTTATGAAGGATTTCTGAACAACCAATGTTTCTAACAGGGCAATCAGTTTCATTTCAAATGTTTTTTTTTTTTTTTTTTAAATACACTTTTTTGTAGGGATTACATTTATAAGCATTTTAGATATTTAAGAGGTCTGAGAAATGAAAAAAACTGAAAAAAATGAAAAAACCCATAAGTGGTAGAATAGTATAAATAGCCTTATCAGAGAAATAAGTTTGATAGAATACTAATGAGAACTCTCACTGAATGAAATCATGATCACTATCTCCTCCAAACTCCCAGAGGACCCCATTCTTCACCCACTAATCCCTGGCAGATTCTGCCTTATATAAAAATCATTTATTTGTCTTCCTTGTTTTTTAAAACAGTAAATTTATGAATTATCCACACATACACAAATTTTTATTTATTTCTTTAGAGATGAAGTCTTGCTCTGTCACCCAGGCTGGAGTGCAGTGGCACGATCGGCTCACTGCAACTTCTGCTTCCCAGGTTCAAGCGATTCTCCTGCCTCAGCCTCCCAGGTAGCTGGGATTGCAGGCACACACCACCACCCCCAGCTAATTTTTGTATTTTTGGTAGAGGCAGGGTTTTACCATGTTGTCCATGCTGGTCTCAAACTCCTGACCTGAAGTGATCCACCTGCTTCAGCCTCCCAAAGTGCTGGTATTACAGGTATGAGCCACTGTGCCCAGCCAATTATATGTATTTAAAAGTACTACTGGAAACAGGGACCATGCCATATTTATCTCTTTAACCACAGAACACTGCACACGTCCATGCAAATATTTGTGGCACCCAGATAAAGCTAATTGAAGAGTGGTAAATAGTAGTGTACTGGGGTGGCACAAACCTTGAGAATGGAGCAGGCTAACTTCTGATTTCTTACCAACCTGACGAGTATATTCTGGGGTAAATTTGGATTTAGGAACTTCCTCCTCATTCAGATCTCTATATCTTTGCTCTACACTTTGCCTTCTCTCAAAGATTAGGTGATGGAAGCTGCCCATTCTTCATCACCGCTTGCTATTCATTCCCAGTTTAATTCCTAGGAAGGTGGGTTATATTTTTTTGAAGTGATATCAGTCTGATCAGTCAGGGGTTTCATGGAATAAAATGCTTTAATTAGAACATTTGGGGTTGTATCATTGAGGGCATGTGCTATACTCTGTATCTTAGACAAAAGTAATTTTTGTTTGAAAAATATAAGATTACAAAGTACATAATGAGTATTTTATAACAGTAAACAATATGAACATTTAGAATTTTGTTTTTGAAAATTTATATATAATTGTACAAAGATTCATCAAAATCCAATACAGCATTTATAAAAGGAACAGTTACAGTTTTATTATTTAGGTAAAATGTTTGCATTTCTTTTTTCATATCCAAAAGTTACTGTAATTCTCTGTGGTAAAAGATATTGGTTCCCAGTACATCTCAGTAATTGAAATGGACAATTTAAACTTCCACATGCTTCAGCTGAATTCTAGAATCATTTTTTAATTTTTTAAGATTCTTTTTCCTTAAATTTTTCCATAGTTGTTAACTTACTACTTTGTCAGCACTTACATTTCTCTTCAATGTTTTTTGAAACATAAAAGTGGTGGTATATAAAGTTGTTGCTGCACATACAGGAGAAGCATGTTGAGGTGTGCAGGGGCAGCGCCGCGTCCTATTTTCTGACCTCCTTGCTGGAGTATTAAATTTCTAATGTCATGCATATGTAAAGGAAGATGAGCTTTTGTATTTAAAATATTTAATGGTAAATTACAATGTTATTTTTAAAACTCTAATTTTGATTGCTTCATGCAAGGCATGAAGTATTTCAATTTCTTTTTAGTATGTTTTAAAAAGTTAACTATATTTTGTTGTATTATAGTAAAGGTAATGGAATAATTTAGATTTTATCATTTTGCAATTAGTCTTTCTTTTTAATGACAGCCTGTTTTTAGGGTGAAACTTATTGGTATCAATTCTCTCTATTAAGGACCTCGAGCAATGATAGAAGGCCCTTCATTGCACTCTGTCTTTCCAATGTGGCTTTTATGCTTCCCTGGCAATTTGCTCAGTTTATACTTTTTACACAGGTAAGATGAGTTTTTAAATTAATTTTTATTTTTAAGTTCTGGGGTACATGTGCAGGATGTACAGGTTTGTTACGTAGGTAAATGTATGCCATGGTGGTTTTTGCATTTATCAACCCATCACCCAGGTATTAAGCCCAGCATGCATTAGCTATTTTTCCTAATGCTCTCCCCACCCCATCCCCCGACAGGCCCCAGTGTATGTTGTTCCCCTTACTGTGTCCATGTATTCTCATTGTTCAGCAACCACTTATAAGTGAGAATATGTGGTGTTCGGTTTTCTGTTCCTGTTGCTGAGAATAATGGCCTCTAGCTCCATCCATGTCCCTGCAAAGGACCTGATCTCGTTCCTTTTTATGGCTGTGTGGTATTCCATGGTGTATATGTACCACATTCTCTTTATCCAGTGTGTCACTCATGGGCATTTGTGTTAATTCCATGTCTTTGCTATTGTCAGTAGTGCTACAGTGAACCCATGTGTCTTTGTAATAGAATGATTTATATTCCTTTGCGTGTATTAATTAAGTTGAATGCAAAATGTACTTGGTTGTTTCCATAGAAATTTTAAAATATGTTACATTTATGCCCTAAAAGATTTTCAAAATAAGGAATAAAGTTTACTGAAAGGTATGATTTTTATGAAATAATATAATTCCACATTCTTTTATTGTATTGATTAGTTTGACAGATTTTAAGCCTCGACATGTGAAAGAGTTTTTCTATTATATTTATTCACAAATGTTATTTTTGGTGTTTGAGATATTATCTGTATATATCTACCTATAGATTTTCCTTTTGTCCTGGTGTTCATTCTGGGTGCCAAGCTACACAGCATGCTAAGGGCCAATCCTACTCTTCACAGCAGGACGTGCTG